AATAAAGTTTTTAATACCTTTTTTTACCTTTATTTGATAAATTGTGTGTTCTATATTATTGCATTTTGTATTGGAATAGGATAAATTATGAATTATACGCAAATATTTAAATTTACAAATTATTCCCAATTTGAGGATGCTGGGTGCACTGGTTCAGATTTTGTATTAGTGCCTATTTATTATTGAGTTATTAGTGCCTCTAAATCTCTATTGTACAAACATTGTAATCTGTTACTTAACACCATAAAGGAACTGTTGATAGCACATGTATTAAATGACTATTAATCAAGATGAACTAAATTTTCGACCATTATATTGCATATTTCCCCCAATATTGAGGGAATAATTTCTCCTATTTATTTTTATAATAAGCCAATATTGCCCAACTGTGAAGTAAATATTGCCCGGCTGGCCTAGTCTGCCCAACAATTGAGCCCAGCCTTGTACGCCTATGACCAGGCCTACAGATAGACCCTCAACCTGATTGGTCTCAATTTTTCTTTCTCCAAAATTTCCCCTCCCCATGTACAAGGATTGACAATTTGACAGTTTGATTAGACTGGAAAAAAAACCCACAGTTATATTGGGTCATTCCAGAAAACACCCATACCACTCCCACAGAGGAAATTGAAAGTTAATCCCTCCTACCCCATTGGATGTCCTAATACATTTACTATTATCAGAAACAATTTCCCCCCCCCTCCCCCTCTGAACGGCAGAAATTTCCTCTGTGGGGGGAGTGTGGATATTTTCTGGAACGACCTATTTGAGAAATGCTTTTGCACAAATTTTAAATTTTCTTACAATTTTCTTGTATGTCAGGACACTGTTCTAAGTTGCAACTAAAATTCAGAGGTCTAAAAGGCTCAAGTCAATTCCAGTGGTGTAACCAGAGGGGGGGGGATATTTTAAATGTTCTGAGCTTGTTTGTAATTAATTAGAGTTGAACATGTGTTAACTGCAAGGTTATTTCAAATCACCAATCATGGCGAAACGAGCGCCAAAGGCGCAAGATTTCTAGGGTGGACCGGGGGCATACTACCACGGAAAATTTTTAAAATTTGGGTCTCTGAAATGGGATTTCCAGCATTCTGAGAAAACATTCTGGAAAATTTTTAGATTCTCAAAACATTTAAAAATTCAGAATATTTAATATTGGCTATTCCACTGTTGTCAACTAGTGATACCCAACTGAATTCCTTAACATAAGTTGGTTAGAATTAGGATAAACATAATTTTTGTACACCCCCCATGCACCCCTGTTGACCAGAGCCTGGGTGCACACCAGAGTAAAATAAAAAGTAAGACACAATGTATAACTTAATAGGTAAGGTTAATGGCCAGAACTAAATGATATACAATATTTTATAATAAACCCAAATTAGTTCAGCACCATTGGTTCTTATAACACTGTCATTCCAATACTGCTAGAACATCAGCAATTAACAAAAGTTGGAGTTTCATCCGATGACATGTATGCTTCTAACCATGCTGTCCATGCAGCTATCTGACAGTTTTTAATTTTCAACATTGATTCCCAAAGCCATTATTCTCAAGATTTGCCAAAAAGGTTTTCCAAATATTAAAGTACAGAGTTATATTACATCACTCATCACTGTTCATTTTACATTCTTCACGTAGATGCATGTTTACAGTACAGTATATCTTGTGTATTTATAATTAAATCTTGCAATATCTTGTTCAAAACCCTCAAATCCAAGATAATCGGCAGCCAGCCATGTTACCAGTAAGATTTCTAGTCTGTTGATTTTGAAATGACCAAGGTTGTACTCGAATATAAATATTTATACTTTAATTATTGAATAGCCCCTGTATATCGCTGACAAGGTATGCTGTTGTCGCGATATAAGATGTTCTTTTGCTCGCCAAAGGGCTTATTTTACGCATAACTGTATCTCTAAATTGATCATTCCTAACTTTAAATTCCAAAAGCCACGCGAGAAGCAGTTTAAGACGCCTTTACAAGTCCAAATATATCATAAATTGCAACAAATAATCCATTCTCACTCCTTGCGTAAAAATATGCCAAGTCAGCGTTTTTAGCTGGAGCTACTGTTTACTTCCGCTTCCGGGGGCACCACTGTTCTATGGTGTTCCGGTTTGGATTATCCCAGGGCTTCTGAGAGCAATAAGCGCAGAAGCCCTGGGTACGAGGTTGGGTCTCCACCGAAAGAAATCTGCGAAAGAATCCCATTGTGGCTAGCGAATATCAGAAAACCATTGAGGCTTATGTACAGAAAGGATATCTCCGGAAAGTTGATCCTGATAAGAAAGAAGCCCCGGGACTATGGTATCTACCCCATTTCCCTGTTACAAGAATGGATAAGTCCTCAACTAAAGTCCGAATTGTATTTGACTGTTCCGCGAAATGTGAAGGAATCTCGCTGAATGACGTCATCCACCCCGGTTCGAAGCTGCAGAAAGATCTTTTTGATGTCTTGCTACGATTTAGGCGGAACCCAATAGCCCTTGTTTGCGACATCCGGGAGATGTATCTTCAAATAAGCATTGATGAGAAGGATCGTCCATACTTCCGCATGTTGTGGAGAAACCTTGACACCGACAGCGAAGCGGATGAGTATGAATTTAGTAGAGTGGTGTTCGGAAAGAACTCGGCACCAATGGAAGCCCAATTCGTAGCCCAAGAGAATGCTCGACGTAATCAACACCTTTACCATTTAGCAGCAGAGACTGTTCTGGAATCCACTTATATGGATGATTCCATAGACAGCGTTGAAGACGAACAGTCTGGTATCAAGTTGTACCATGAGTTAAGAGAGTTGTGGGCCAAAGCGAAGAAGGAGGCTAGAAAATGGATTTCCAATTCACCAGAAGTCCTTGCAGAAATCCCGGTAGAAGATCA